TGAATCAACCCAAGAAAACTGTTTTTTGATAAGAAGACGGTTCTTTACTGAATGTAACATGCTGTAAGGTCAATACTGAATACTTGTCTTTCTCTCAGAGAATTGCGGGCCCTTGTAGTCGAGATGGTCCTGGCCACTGACATGACCTGTCACTTCCAGCAGATTAAAGCCATGAAGAACTTCCTCCAGCAGCCAGAAGCGTAAGTTCGGTCGCACACATCAGGGTAACGAGGAGGAGGGGCTTTAGCTAATCACACACTGTTCATGCAAAAACATTTCTGCATCTACAGATATTCATATCCACATATTGAGAGGTTGGACAGAGTGATTTTAACAGCTCTGAGGGGCTGAACATCTCTGTCCTCTGCAGGATCGATAAACCCAAGGGCTTATCCCTGTTACTGCACACTGCTGACATCAGCCACCCTGCCAAAAACTGGAACATGCACCACCGCTAGTAGAGTAAAATAATTGTATTTAGTCTCATGATTTCTGGATGTCCAGTAGAAAACAAAATAAAGCAGTCACATTCGACCAGTTTTAACACAATTTAACACACTTTAGTATTTGTTTTTGGGTAAGGTTTTTTTATTGTTGTTGTTTGTATTTTTATTTTATTTATTTTAAATTTTTTACAGTTTAGACTATTTTCCTCTTTGCAACGGACCAGCTGGTGACCCCAGTTTGAATAGTCCTGCTTTATAGAACCTAGTAATTAAGAACTAACTAATATGTTGTTAGTTCAGGGTAACGAGGAGGAGGGGCTTTAGCTAATCACACACTGTTCATGCAAAAACATTTCTGCATCTACAGATATTCATATCCACATATTGAGAGGTTGGACAGAGTGATTATAACAGCTCTGAGGGGCTGAACATCTCTGTCCTCTGCAGGATCGATAAACCCAAGGCCTTATCCCTGTTACTGCACACCGCTGACATCAGCCACCCTGCCAAAAACTGGAACATGCACCACCGCTGGACCACCTCACTGCTGGAGGAGTTCTTCAGACAGGTCAGTGTCCCGAGACTTTTGGATATCAGCATTAAGTCTTATTATAATTATAGAAGCATATCAATCTTATCAAAGCCTTTTCTGGGTCATACTTCATATTTCATAAATTCAAAAGAAAGAAATAAGAAATTCTATATTTTGTGCCTATTTTTAAGACCATAATATATATTGTGATTATTATTTTAAATTAAGAATTTCAAATTAATAATCGTTTGTTTGTTTGTTTGTTTAAAACATATAAATTAAAGATTAAATGTTATTTAATAATAAAGGTTATTTAATAATATGTATTACAGTATTTATTTCTTTGTTAACGTTAGTTAATAAAAATACAACTATTCATTGTTAGATCATGTTATCTCAGGTGCATTAAATAATATGAACAGACACAGCTTTTGATTTTAATAATGTGTTAGTAAATGTCGAAATTAATATTAAGATTAATAAATGCTTTAGAAGTATAGAACAAATGGAACCTTGTTGCAAAGTGTTATCAAAATATTTAACCAAAATAAATAAATAAACAAATTTAATGATTATTTAAACTATGCTGTAAAACGTTTATTCATATGTAATGCATGTTTATTTGAATAATAATCAATAACAAGTTAAATTATTTTATAAATCATCAGAATGAGATTTTTATTTTTATTATTATTATTTTTGTATTCATTTTATTTTTATTGCAATAAAGGTAATACAAATTTGAGAAAATGCACTCAATTGTCTTGAAACTACTGTGAAAATTATAATAATAAATGTATAATCCTGCAAATAGGCTTCCATCTCCATATGAAAAATATAATTTCATATTTTTCCTTTTAGATTTGATTAGAATAAATGTTGAATAATTTATACATAGACTATAGTAAATGTATGCAAACAAAATAAAATATACAGTTGTCATTGAGAATATCCTGTTTACTAGGTACCAAATAAGTGCCTCAAACAAATCTCTGATTTGAATGTCATTCGTCAAAAACCTTGCAAATCCATCCTAGTTCTTTCTAAGAAGTGCTCATCAGTGCAGCAGCCCAATACCTTGTAAACACAACTTTGTTTCCCAGTGGGCCTATAAAAACCCTGAGCACCCTGACTCCCAGGAATTGTGTTCACAATCAGACCACAGATTGAGGTTTTGAGAAAGCTCTTGCTAGTTGTGTGGGCGATGTGCATCAGGCGGGGTGTGAATGGCCTGTGAGTGTGTTGTCTGAAGCTGAGAGCAGTGTCCTGTATACATTTTTATGGTTCTTCAATCATACAGTGAGCACTCTCTCTCTCTCTCTCTCTCGCT